AATTTTTTTATGGTTTTTGTTAAAAAATGATTATAGATTCATTTAAAATCGTAAAATTTTCATATACCTATGTCGAAATAAGATTTAAAGATTAAAATATGTACTAATTTTACCGAACGAAAATTAAAATACGTAAATATAATTACCGATTTCACTGATGGCTGTGAATGATAAATTTATCTGTTTCCAAATTTAAAGTAGAGGAAAAATGAAACAATTTTTATCTGTGTTGGAGTAAACAGATAAAGAAAGTGGTTTCGAAATTTTAAGTGGGAAGTGTTGGAATTTTTTATAACTTAAAAAGGGTATTATTATCTTTTAAACAATACCATTTTTTGTAATTTATATAACATTTTAAGGGTAATTTAGTATTTTCAGCCTTGAAAGGCTATTGTGGTGAATGGTAAAAAAATTTGGGCAAAGTGGAAAATAGTATCTCTGACTTGGGCAAACTGAAAAGTACCCCATCTTTTTAGGGTAAAATTTACCAATGATCACCCAACTTTATACCCAGTGTCATCATGGTTACCTAATTTGATTTTGTTTCATCATGGACCCCCAACTTTATAATTAGTATTACCATGGCCACCCAATTTGATTTTATTTCACAATGGCCATTCAACTTCTTTTCAACATTTTTGCTAATTTTAAAAAGGGCAAAATAGTGACTTTACATTATAATATATAAAATAAATTTTAAAAAACAAAAAGAAAAGTGTTTTAAATAATTTTTTATTTTATTTTATATTTTCAAGTAACTTTTTTAAAATAATTTTTTATATTTTTTTATTATATTTTTTTAAGTAGCTTTTTTTAAAATAAGTTTTTATTTAATTTATTATATATATATAACGTAAAATTACTATTTTACCATTTTTAAAATTAGGTGAAATGGTAAAAAGAAATTGAATGGTCATGGTGAAATATGAAATTTCCAGGTCATAGTGAAATAAAATAAAATTGAATGATTATGGTGATACTAAATATAAAGTTGAGTGGCCATAAGTATGCCACTTTCAAACAGTACGGCACATTTCATGGGATTCACAATATTTTTTTTAACCTTTTAATCATATTTTATCAACTTTTATCAAAATCAGCTAAAACTTTTATAAAAAACTTTGTCAAATGCCTCAGTTCTTTTCAACATTTCAATATACAATATGTTACGTTTCACCAACGAAGCTTCGGTAGAGCCACATGGTGCACTCGTGGCAAAAGAGTGTAGGTGACGACATTTTTTGTCGAACCCATGAGCATTCGAACTAGTATGGATGGGTTGAATTTGTGGGTTGTAGCCAACCCCTAGTTACTGAAGCGGATTGGCAAAAGATTCCCGAAGAGAATCTTTATGCAAGATCTTGTCGCGAATTAGATGATTTGACAACTCAATGATAAGACTACTCCACTCAACAAACAAATCTAGTCTAGTCTTACAGGTAGGCCTAAAGCTGCACAATCGTCATTTCACTTAATGCAGTATGGCCTAAGAATGATTGATTGACACTAATGATAAGAGAACAACACTGTAGGGATAAAGCCACGTGTGCATTCATCCTACGGTTCACATCCGTAATGTCCTACTATAAAAGCTCTTTCTTAGCACTATTTGAAGGTAATATTAGTTTAACACAAATAAACCTCTCTACACTTTGTTGCTTTGTATTGTATTCCCAGCTCTAAACCCTTTTTTCTTGATAAAATTTACGTCCCAAGCATATTCCTCATTCAACTATATATTCCACCATATTGACTTGATCGTTAGAGTGCCTGGGCCACTTCCCACACCACCTAAGCCTGGCCGTATGCCATAATGATTTGTCCAAATGTGCAGGATGAAAGCTTACGTGGACATCAAGAAAGTTGAAATTTGTTGGCCACATCACCTATATAAAAAATGGGGTGAACACAATCAATATGCATGTGTTTTTATGTAGAGAGAATAAAATTTGATTGAAACAACAAGAAACGCGAGGATGATTGGTATTTACGTTATTTTGCTTTCACTAACATTTGATAAAAGTTATTTGATCAAGTATTGTTTTATGTTTTGATTCTGGTCCATTGTATTTAATACTGAATAGAACAACGTCGAAGGGATGATTTAGAATCACTTTGATTATGTTCTCATGTATTTCTTAAGAGGAAGGTATATATACGTATTTGTCAATTTTTAGTTTTCTTCGATGCACTTCTCATTATATGTCTATTTACTCTCTCCGAATAGGGTTATGCTGCAAGTACATGGACATTTTTCATAGGTCCCTACCAGACAACACACATGGGTGAGGCCCTAGTTATTATTATTTTTTTAATACATGTGGGGCCCGTCCCTTTGTGAGGGACTTGTAACTCCTCTGTGAAAAAATTCTACGTACTTGGGGATTTATCCCTCCGAATATATAGTCTCCTTGATTGAGGTGACCGATGTTTCAGCAATCTTCCAGGCACATTGCATATTTTGCACGATGTGAGACTAATTTTGAAGCTCACTTTTCTATAGGCATTATGTCGTGGCTACCTTCGGAGTTCGCTTCTTTCTTCCATTATTGCTACTTTTTGGATTTCAATGTCATCCGTTTTTTTTTTTTTAACTTTTTCTCTTTATTCTTACTCCTCATTCCTCTAGTCTCTCTTCCCCTTCAGGTTTCCAATATGACTATTTATTTGACTGGATCGTTTCGAAAATATCGAGAGTCGTCCCTTGCCAATTCTCCATTTCAAGAGCTTGTATGTAAAGTTCGGGCTTACCTTTTGTTAGCCCCCACGAGTTTAAGATGTAAAATATATAACATTTTTATTGATCAAAATTGAAAATAAGTTACTTATAGGGCAAGGGGCCGCATGCAAATTACCTGCATGCCTCCTCTTATGTTATGATGGACTCCTTATTTAATTTGATAGTTGGGTAATACATTGATTATATTCACATTTGTTGTGTATCTGTTTATATTGTTCAAAATTTCATGTTACATACAGTTGTTTTGTAGTTATCAAATTTCATCATTTTCCTGTTGACTGGATCCTCAGAGCAACCTACTATCTCTAGCAATCAAGATCCAGTGATCGATGTGCGCGATTCCTACCCTTCACATGGATGTACATAGGGTTGGTAAAAATTCAACTCAATCAACCCAACCCAAACCGATTGGTGTGGGTTGGTTTCTCAATTCAATTAGATTGTGTTGGGTTATAAAATCAAAATTCAGGTTGGATTGGGTTTCGGATTATAAATTAAAACCTAACCTAATACAATTCAACCCAACCTGAAAAATCTAACAAAAAAATAGACACAAGGGAAATAAAGGAAGAACTCATAATTTATAAACGTACAATTGTTTTTTTACATAAACTGATTGATATGAACATTATGCACAAATACAAAGTTATTTAATGATAAAATAAAAATTAAAGACATGATGATGAAATAAATGAATGCCAAATAATTATAAAAAAGAAAATACTTCAAAATTTCAATCTTACTTATACGTTATTTTTTAGAAAAAAATTCTTATATAGGTGTTGAAAAATGAAAGTTCTCAAGTAATTTTAAACTTTGAAAAATTGTCTAAATTCAAAAAAAAAAAAAAAAAAACAACTTGAATTCAATTTTTATTGGGCTGAAGCCCAAATCGCTCAACCCAACCCAACCCAACCCAACCCAACCGAACCCAACCCAAACTGAACCAAGTTTGGGGTTCAGTTTGGGTTGGATTTAAACCAATAACGGGTTGGGTTGGGTTGATCTAAAATCAAACCAGCCCTATTGGATTAGAGAAAAAATCGATCCAACCCAACTCACGCCCACCCCTATGTACAACAAATACACTACAAAATTTCCAGTGTCAAAAGTTCATTGGAACTATCCTTGGATTACAAGCAATCATCTTCTGCTAGAAACATCGAGTCGACCCTAAAGAGTATATAGAGCTTGAGTTTTGGCAATCAGAGGATGCAAATAACCATACAACTCACTTTATTTTTTTGCAATTCAGCAGTATTAACATAATTAGCTATGATTTTATAATTATTAGATTACAAATACTAATTCTTGTCGCCAACATATCCTCAATATCTTCTATATATTAAAAGTGGCTATGTAACGAAATTTCTTGTTTTTAACGGAAAAACTAATGAAATTTCTTGTTTTAACGGACTATGTAACGGAATTTCTTGTTTTAAACAGGCAGCTGCACCTTCCTTCAATGTTTTTATCATAATTTTGTATTCCGATATCCGATTGAGGCGATTCAAAATGCGTTGGAAATCTAACTCATCTGACTACAATTTTGATTCAGACATCATTCTCCAATTAGATCACTTTCTATGCCAAAAATAGGTCTCAATATGAGACTAAAATATCGGAGCATAACTTTTCGGTTGGAAATTGATTTGTGATCATCTTTTGACTAAATTTGATTCCATTGACGTCTTCCTTTATCCAATTGACTCCGAGCACTCTCAAATCTTCATCGTNTTGTCAACTTTTGCTTATTTTTTCGATCTCACCAACTTACATCACAATATCAAAATCACACATCTAATTATTTATCAATTACATAAACATTACATCATTAATTATTTAATTAACCAAAAAAATTACATATTTATTAATAACAAATTAATTCTTAAACAAAATTATTAAATATAAACTAGGCAAACATGCATTGCACATTGCTTGCTTCTAGTACTTATCAACATAACAAAGGTATTGGAACCAAGACCTGTGGTCTCCAATGAAATTAAACAAAATTTGGCAGGAGAAAGAATGTTACAAGAACCCTACCCTACACGAGACAAAATTGCAATTAGTATTGTGCCCACCAGAATGGTATGGATATTGAATATTTTGATCCGATTTGCATCATCAGATGAGCCAAACATGCTTTGCAAATAAACTATAACAACGAACATGGAATAAAAGGAAAAAAATTTGTTAAGCTAGTGCTAAGAAGCTCCAACAGGCTCCCTTTTACCTCAAAAATCCCGGAAAATTCGCCTCAAAGAAGATCAGCAACATTTGATGGAAGTTCTTCTATTGTCACATTGTAAAACCTCTGTATATCGAAGAGCATTTTCTCGTCATCCTTTGTCGTGAAGTTTATGGCAACTCCTTTTCTTCCAAACCTACCACTTCTTCCAATTCGATGTAGATAATTTTCAGGCTGAGTTGGAAGATCATAGTTTATCACAAGAGAAACTTGTTGGACATCAATACCACGAGCCAAGAGATCAGTGGTAATAAGAACCCGAGATGACCCAGAGCGGAATTCGCGCATAATAATGTCTCGAGTATTCTGATCCATGTCTCCATGAGTAGCTGAGACAGTGTGGTCACGGCTTCGCATCTTATCAGTGAGCCAGTCGACCTTGCGCCTGGTATTTACGAAAATGACACTCTGAGTGATGGCTAGAGTCTCGTATAGATCACATAGGGTTTCAAGTTTCCAGTCTTCCTTATCGACATTAACATAAAACTGCTTAATACCCTCGAGAGTTAGCTCATCTCGCTTCACCAATATTCTCACAGGTTTGTTCATAAACTTCCTAGTGATTTCAAGGGCTTCAGGTGGCATTGTGGCTGAGAATACACCAACTTGAACTTTCGATGGCAGCAGCTGGAAAATGTCATATATCTGGAAGTATGTATGAATACCCCAATCAGTAAAAACTCCCAAACAATGTAAACTAGAAACCATGCACGGTACACAAGGGCCTCATATTTCAATGATAAATTAGTGTTCATCCATGCACATATACACATCAAATCCACGAATAAACCCCAATCACAGTAAACTGAAGAAAAGAAAGTACCTGATCCTTAAAACCTCGTGATAGCATTTCATCTGCCTCATCAAGTACAAACATTTTGATGTAATCAGAGCGAAGTGACTGTCTTCGCAACATGTCAAACACACGACCAGGGGTGCCAACCACAACATGAACACCGGCTGAAAGAATACGCTGATCCTCGCGAACGCTGGTTCCACCTACGCAGGCATGAACCTTAACACCAAGGTAGTCGCCAAGTGCTCGCATAACCTTTTCAATCTGTTGTGCAAGTTCTCTAGTTGGTGCTAACACCAACGCCTGACATTGCGTCAAATCATAATCAAGCTGCTGCAAGATGCCAGAGCAGAAAGTAGCTGTTTTTCCAGTTCCAGATTGAGCCTGCTGAATAACATCAAGTCCCTTGCAGAATGGTACAATGCCTCTTTGTTGTATTGCAGAGGGCTTCTCGAAACCTTAAAAAGAAATATTGAAATCTTAAACCATGCATAAGATAAAATATAGGGAGGGCAAAGAGACAGAAGGCAGGGCAATCCCCTGCCCTGTTTACTATCCCGTATATATATATTTTATTTTTTCCTCGTAAATTCTAGGGTAATTTGGGAATTGGGCTAATGGACTTGGGTAATCAGTTTGGATTTGGGCATAAAAAAAGTTGGGCTAACATAAATTTTAACAAATTTTGATTTCTTTAACTATATAATCGGGGAGGGGCAGCAAAACCCAACTTCAAAACTTCCCCGCCGCCCAGTCAGGGTGGGGTATCATGGGGCTCAGGTTTTCTGATCAAATTAAGAGCATTATTGCACACACCATAAGCATAAATTCCTCTGAGGAGATTCTCCTGAAGGCCCATAGCATCGAAACTTTCATAGACCTCATCATATGATGTGAAGAATTCTTGTCCATCAACTTGGAGCCTACACCAAAGAGTGCAAACAAGCATCAAATTATCATTCATCACTGCCAGTTATTTAAAAATTTGGACGTACAATCCAGAGTGCACATCATCAAATTGCTCATAAAGCAGTGCGAGGTGTTCCTCGTGCAAACTTACAATTCACTCATCTTCGCATCAAATTGACGAGTATCAAATTGTGATCCTTCAGGCCCCAATCCTGCCATAACTGCAATGTGCTTGATATATTAACAAATAAGTTCTCCACAGCAGAGGAAAGAATATTTTATTAACTAAATGCGGGAAAATTGGTTGAAGGATATGGCCAATAAATAAGAGCCACAGGTTTCTGCTCTTTGAGGTAAATGTCACAAAAGAGCCAAACTTGATAACCACGTATGATGGAGTACAAGCATTAAACTTCTGTTTGAATGTTTGGGGAAGAAAATCCAAACGGCAAATGGCTATCTGATACCGAGAAGAAAAATTCTCTATAGCAGAAGCCCCTCAACCATCTTCCCCGAAATTTAGCATGCCTCCCGCAAAGTAACATAGATATTCAAAAAGATTCGGAATTAACAATAATCAAATTAAAAAATCTAATGAAATTCTATAAACGACAAATCAAATTAATTTCAGCAAAATATAAATGAAATATCATGAGTATATAAAATTCTAATATTTCCCAAATGCCACTTAGCCTATACCACATCAACTAATAAGCCTAGTAGCCAACACAATATACATGTATGGCATATTAAATAACTAATCAATAACCAATAATCAAAACAGGGCAGAAAATGTAACGGAAGAGCCAAACTTGAAAACCACGTAATATGGAATACAAGCATTAATCTTCTGTTTCAATGTTTGGGGAAAATATTCCGAATGGCAGGTAGCTATCTGCTAACAAGGACAAAAATCCTCCACGGCAGAAGCCCGTTGCCATCTCCCCTGAAATTTAGCAAGCCTCCCGCAGTTAAACGGGTACTTGAAAGATTTGCAATTTGTGAGGGTCATTCTAGATATATAAGAAATCCTTGATTAATCATAAGACAAATAACTTACTTTAAAATTCCAATTGGAATTAAATTATTAATAACCAAATTAAGTGTATACAATTCTATTATTTCCCAAACGCCACTACCAAAAACCACATCAACTAATAACCTGAAAATAATGAACATAAGAATAAGCATCCGGCAACAAATTGCATGTCCTCCAAATTTACGATCAAGAAACACAATTTTTGTAAAAAAAAAAAAAAACTTATAAATCCAGTAATTGTAACGATTTTTATAGTCATCAAGGACAGCGCCTTAGAAAAGTTCTACAAATCAATCCCAGAAAAACTACGCTCCAAACCATAAACAACCTTTAAAACTACACAGATCAATGTTTCATATCCTTCTATTTCGGCATATTCGCAGTTTTCACATCACGCATATTCAAATAACTTAACAGATCAAATACACACAATGCAGTGAAACTATGAACATACCCAGTATTAAAAATGACAGAAAACAACATTTAGCAACACAAACCTTTGTATCTGAATGAGGAATCAAAAAACTGATAATGCTCGTGTAAGAACGCTTAGAAAACTCCTCGGATCCGACCCTTGGAGTTGGAGAAGAAACAAAATAGTGAGAACCGCTTTTGGAATGTGATTTGTTGGCGAACAATGAGGAGGATTTGGTAAGAAGGCGGTCCTATTATAAAGGATTGTCTCAGGTTTTGGCTTGTCCTGTTATTGCGCTCTTTTTTCCTAAACCGCCATTCTTTCCCATAAAATAGCGGCTAGGGCAAAATTCAAAACGTAACAAACTGTGTCGTTCCATTGGGCAGGAGGAAAGGGCCCAATAACATGCAATGTAAAGCCCAAATTGTTCAGGTTTTAAATTTTAATTTCAGAAAATAAAAAGACGTGTAGGATGCAATAATGGGATGTGAACAAAGCCACTATAGATAAAATTAGAGATTGACGGCCATTTATTACAAATCAATGTCAGGTAGATTGGAAATCAATTAATTTAAAGAATTGTGCTTTTTAGGTAAATCGTATAATATTGTAATTAACTAAAGAGGAAATTACACCTACACTTGCTATTAGATTTTCAATTTCACAAATCATATCACAAGTTTAATTTTTCAAATATCAGGTTTTTCATATTTAATTAAATATTATTTATACAATTTCATCGTATTTAATTTAATCCCAAATCAAACCCTAATTCATTTCTCCCTCTACCGTCT